AAACAACGAAATCCCGGCGAGATAAGCTAGAGAGAGAGAGAGAGAGAGAGAGAGAGAGAGAGAGAGAGAGAGAGAGGAGGGGGGAGTGACTTCTCGAGAGGAGAAAACGCGAGAACAACGGGGGATCGAGAGACTTGCTCGTGATCGGCGATATACTTGACGTGAGACTCTGGAGAACGGGCACTTCTAGAAACTTACGACGGGTTCATGATAGAGCTACCGAAAAGTCAGAGTATACCGTCCGAACTCTTGACCGTTTGTGCCATCGTCACGTGAACGCGTGCTATCGAAGACAAGAGCCTATCGTGCGACATCTCGGCAGCGAGTGACCGATTCCCGCTCTCCACCAGCCAAGGCGTTCGGCCACGTAGCGACGGTTACGAAGCCAGCGCGACCATCAGCGGACAAGACTGCAGGCCCCGAGTGGAGGCGAGGAAGAGTCCGATCTCTGTAAGACCTACCATTTGTTTGCGTGTTAGCGCTGTGTAACTATCGTGTCGAGAATGTCGCATGCGGGTGGTCGCGCGAAAGACTTACGGGAGAATCAAACCGGGACGAATATCATTTAACGTATCGACGCGTGCGAGATATCGTAGAGCGTACTGGAAGCGCGTGTACCGACCGAATAAAGAGTTATACCGAAAGTACAATTGCATCTTTCCTCGGCTTTCCACCAACAACGATAAAACCCATCCCTCCTCCGACTCTAATTAAAAAGTGAGCTACCGGTCCCGTTAAGTTCCCGCGATAGCGACGACAAACTATATTTGAAGATTTTGGCGAATACTAATTAGTGAGGAAGTGCGGTCTTACCGCACCTGGCGCCCAACTTGAGTTGGTGAGTTCGTATCGAGATCCGGGGACCGCGGTAATTTGCCGACGAAGCGGACAGGCGATTGCCCGCTAGTATCGATAAGAAAGGCGTCGCTCTACATAATACTAAACGCAGTAACAAATAATCTAATAAATGACATCAATGACATAATGTCATATATAAATAATGAAAAATTGGGAAGATTACTACCTCAACTTACACTAATCGAGAATATAATCACAACTTAAAAAATTAGCGATCCACTTATCTAAAATTATATACTTCCCATTTACACTTGCACGGAGCACTGGCTAGAAATAGAACAATTTATTACAATTAATGCATACTACAATATCGAAACCATTTACACAATCTTAAAAGTCCCTCTAATAACATATCCCACTTACATAATCATCAACACTATATCCCACATAAAACAGTTACATATAATATATGTATATTAGAGAGCTAGAGTTTATATATATATATATATATATATATATATATATATATATATATATATAT